GTTTTGCGCTACACTACAGGAATGATATTTTGTTGGGATGGCAAAATTAATTCTGAGATTTTAGGCTTAGACTGGATAAAATCCCTCAAATTTTTCAGTGACTCGTTCATGGGTATTTTATAAAGGCAGACTGTTGTAACCTCAGTGTTAAAATGCAAGATAAATATTCTGCTGGCCTTCCTAAACAACTTAAAGAAATGTAGTTTTTGATTTGCCAAAAAGATCTTAATTCTGACACTTGTTCAAGGTTTCTATCACTTTTCTATTCTGCCATTTATTTGTCTTATCGGAATCTTTGGTGAGCTTGATTTTATTGTTTTGTTCAAGCCATCAGATCTGCATCTTATAATCTTGCCAGAAATTTGTTGGCATATATGTCAAATTAAAACTACCAATCAGTCAGAAACTTCTTAGAGATACCAGCTGGTGCAGAAGAAGGTATTTCACACATCTGTTTTCAATGCACAACTGTCCACTGTGTTCTCTTTGCAAGGTTGAATTCCTGCTCCAAGTTGAGCACATGCTGGCCAAGAACTATCCGACCTATTGCTATTTATAAATTAAACAAAAATCAACCTCATTATTAAAGCCAGGTATTTTCAAAGATGACACCATTGCCTTTAGGTAGACCTTTTCTTTTGTTTAATTTAACGTTTTTCTGTTTAGCCCTTTTGTGTTACAAACCAATGCAGTGTCTTAAATCCATCCCACGTTATTTTCATTACAAAAAGCCCACGCTTTTAAGAACAGCATCCTTTTGTTTGTAATAGCTAAATTGGATTAAATGAACAAAATGGATAGTACGCATTCAGAAGACAGGAAATCTGGAGGCAGACAGCTTTATTAAAAGTGTCAAGTCATCTTTGAATTCTTTCTCAGTGTTCATTATTTTCCACACAGGTTTAGTAACGTGAAAGTAGCTCTTTGTTTAGTTTAAGACGTTCTTCTCAACTCCTGCCTTTCCTCCTGCAGACCTGACAGTTCTAAAAGTTTTAAAAGGGAGATCTTGGACAGGCACCATGCACATGCTTATACACACACATGCATGTGCGTGCGCGCACACACACTTCACAAACACGGATTATTTTTACAGTCTGGACTTCTGCCAGGTCATCTGCCAAACCACATGGTCAACAAAACAACAAGAGCCTCCACAGACAAAACTCATTCAAACAAAGACTGGCGTGTTTAAATGTAAGCAGACAAGACCTAATTGCTGAATACGTATAAATCAAGGAGTACAAGAGAGTCAGTCTTAAAATGTATTCAGCAGCCTATAAAATACATGATCCTTCTCCTGTAGTCCGGTCCAAAAGTCGATTTATGGTAGTATAAACAGCATTCTTCTTGATTATACGGAAAGCACAGCTGTTACATGGCATCATCATCAACATTGCTCACTTTTCAAACATATTATTTACAAGGATAAATCCCAGAAAATATCATTAGTTTTGCTAACTAGTACTACTTGGACAAGTAATGGTCAGTATAAACACTTTCATGAGATAAAATTGAAGATAATCTTTGTTTTCTTCCTGTTAAAGAACGTGGCAGTGGAAGGTGTTGTGTATAGTTGGTGTTCAGGGTCACAAGGCACATCTGACTATGGGAAGAAATTTGTTCTTGTTTCAACAAGCCTGTTTTTTTGAAAACTTTGACCGTCTGACATCCTTGTGGGGGGCTAATGTTTGATAACGCAGGTTAAACAATTACATCACACAAACAAATGTTTTTGTGCTGACCTGGCTGACGTTCAAATCTTTTTTGTACCGTCCTCAGTTGGCCAGGCCATGGCACATTCAGAAGTTTTTGTAGTTGGATGGAGAGCGGAATTGTCCCTCTCTGACTCACAAATTTATACAAAGTTAACAGCGAGCTTTAGCTAATGGAAAAGATGGGCAGTTTTGTGGACTAATATGGTCAAGAAGGCCTTTGAAGTGCCTCTTCCCTTCATGCTAGAATAGATGGTGAGTGTGAAACTAAGCAGCTGCTGTGGAGGACTCCAGTAGTTAATTTTGAAACATCAAGGATGTGTCAAAATAAATACACTATTCATGGGTGCGAGTAAGAGGGAGCTGTGTGTACTTTATCCCACGTGTGGCCATTTGGCTGCAGGCAGCTTAGCTCTGCAGTGCACCATGTGCGTTGCATTCACTGCACAGTGCACTGTATATTTTAGTACATCTGACATCCTTATGCCCTGTGATGGACTTACGACCTGTCCAAGGTGTAACCCGCCTCTCAAACAGTAACTGCTGGGGATAGACATCAACTACCCTGTGAAGTAAAAGCATGGATGTGACTCGGAAAGTGGATGGATGGATGGGAAACAAGTTTTCTGTGGAATGCATTCAGCTTTTTTTATAGTTTGTTGGACATTTTGCTTAATTATAACAAATTTATTGGCTGAGAATTATGCTATTGTAGACTCATGTTTAGTGTTTCTGATGAAATTGTAATTTGATTTAATATTTAAGTCAACTTGGCTAGACACAGATTTATATATAGGTAAGTGATACATATTTGCTTCTGTTTGTCTGTTTATTTTTTTAGGATTCCCTTTTATTTTTTTTTAAACCATATATTATGTATCCAGGCTTTTTATAAAGTTACAAAACCTTAAGTCTGCACCACAGAGAGAATTCTCTGGTTCCATGATTTAATTTTTAAAATACTGCCTGTGGATGGAAGAAACACCGATGAGCCAGAACAGTGACTAAAATGAGACAATGATTTCATCAGAGTGTGTTTAGGTACTGCACACCACAAAAAGTACCTTTTTTATATTTAACTAATCAGATGAGGTTAGAAAATATCCTCACTTTCTCCTTTGGAAGAAATATCTAGGTGTGGTCTGTTACTTCAGCTCCTGAATATAGACAACTGCAATTTTTGATTTCAAGACTAAATTTAGAGATGATGCATTCTGTCTGGGTGCAGACTTTGACTTATAGGAAATTTTTGTAGAAGGTTGAGTAAATGTGGTCATGCTCTGGAGATTTCCAGTCACCAAGAAAGGACATGCAGAAATTCATGCAGCACAGCCTCTGTGGTTTATGATGTTTGGCTTCACACTGCAGGTCAAAGCAAAGGAGAGAAGGGCTGCACTAGCAAGGTGCAGACATCCCAGACAGATGAGAAGTTTTAGACACTTGATTTTATTTCTGATTCTTGCTTTTTGTGCGTTTTGTTCAAGGGTTTTTCACATATAAGTTTGCTTATGAAAAGTTTTACTGATTCCTGTGAAAACTCAAATCTAAACTCGTTATTTTGCTTTTTTCCCCCCAGTTTTAATCTTTTGCAACAACTACAGCAAGTATCAATTTTATGGTGTGAAAGTTGTAAACACAACCAAATATTGTATGAATAGTTCTATTTGATTTCAAGCTGAAGAGAGGATGATGAAATGACAGTATCAGTAAAAGAGCTGTGATTTTGTTTTACAACGAAGTATTGGAGTAGTGGAGATAAATAAGGTGATAAGAAGTCATCATCAGCTGTTATGAGGCTAATATTCCCATCTGTACCAAAGTTTCATACCAGTTGCATGCTGTCAAGACATTTAATTCAATTTATCAAATGAAAACCTTTCTGTAGCTCTTAAGAACTGTCTTCTTCTTGAGGTGTTGTCAAGATTTATTGTCTTGGTCTGTTGCAAGTTTTGCTCCAGTCAAATCAGTTTCTGTTGAAATTGTCGACATGTCCAACAACGATCCAAATAAAGAGTTGTCCCAAGCATTTGTGAGTGTGTTTATATTAAATCAAGCCAGAATCTTTTTTTAATGATAAAACCTTGTGGAATGTGTTCAGCCCTCCTCTGCAATGTTGTTCATTTATGACAGCTGATGTATGTATTTTTGTCCAGCATATATATGCACACAGGACAGGCGGTGCCATAATCCAGCAAGGATTGCACACATTTTCTACATTACTGGTAAAATAGCAGCTGCTGAAGACCAAAAAAAAGTCATGCCTACAAAGACAGAAGGAAAGAATTATCAGTAAGATAAAAGCAATGGATGATTGAATTTGACCTGGTCTCTGTATGTTTTAAATCTCACTTGTCTTTCAGAAATATTCCCTCTGGTTTATAGTATAACCACTTTGGTGCTCGCAAACAACACAAGATTTAACTCTTCTACCACACAGACCAGTCTTCTAAACAACAAGATGTTTCTTCTCTCAGTTCTGTCATTGCAGGCACACCTCACTAATCATCATTACTAGTACAATATTTGGAGGAAAGCCAATGCTGACTAAGAAAGAAAGGGAGATGAATATGTGTTTGCTAATCCAAGAAAATTATGGTCTTCATTTCAAACATCCCTGCTGAAATAGCTGGACTTGACTCTATACAGTTTAATTGAACCTTTTAATCCTCACTTTTTGATGGATTTTATTGTAAACTCTCTTAAAAAGGCATTAAATCTTTAACTCTTACACCAATCATCTGTATGTGTGCAAAACTTAGAGCTTTTCTTCATCCAGCTGCAATAAGTGGTATTTCTGTTGAACTGCTGCAATTTTATGTTAAATAACAAAACACATTGGTCGTTGTATTAGGTGGCAATTAAATGTTATGTCGTAAGTCGGCTGTATTTTCTGCCTGAAACGCCGTTGTATTGTTTTGGAAGCTGCCTCCCCCCAGGACTCATGTGGGATTAGACAGCTTTGTGGTTACTTTTGGAACTTCACTAAACAACAGTTTAAAATAAATACTCCCTTCATGTCATTACCGTCCAGTTTTGTGCTATAAACCCTTATTCTCCTTCTTGTAGTTTTCAACACTTCATGAACAAACAGCAAAAATATTTAGGTCATATAGTGTGTGCTAAAATAAACCCACTCTACGTATTTACTGCAATATATTTTATATTTGAATTGAGTCTTTTTGCTGTCAGTAGTGTTTGTGAATGCCTGGTTTTAAAAAGACAACTCAAAGATGTGTTGACTTTAGTCTTTGTATTGAAAGCTCACCGTGTCCTCTCTTGTGTCCTCAGTACTCTCTGACGGAGGCCAAACTCTGAGGTGGAGGAGGCTGTAAAGAGGCCCCAAGGGGAGCCTCCAACCCTCCCTACCTGACCAGTGATACACATCAGACTACCATGGCTCCTCGGAAACGTGGGGGAGGCGGCGGTCGTGGTGGTCTCTCCTTCATGTTCTGCTGTTTTAACAGCAGCGATCACCCTGAGATCACCTACAGGCTGCGGGAGGACTTTGCCCTGCAGAGTATGGAGCCATCACTGCCGATGCCAGGATATGATGAGCTGGACAACATGTTCTCTGAGCTGGTTGTAAGTTCTTCCTCTTTCTCTTTTCTTTTTATAATCGGCTTGTTTATTCTAACAAGCCAAAATAACACAAAAAAACAAAAGCATGTGAAGTACACAAAAATATCATTTTAAGTGTTACATTTCAGGGGGGGAAATCCCACATCAACAAAAACTTTGTAAATAGATCTCATTCTGAAGTGTTGTCTGTGTTTTATCCATCATTGTCCAAAGACTAATAAAGCACACCAGTACCCACATCCTGGTCCTGTGTGACATAAAAGTTAGAAGTGTCTTAATAACAGCATAAATCACACAGTACAGCATAAAAAGAGAGCCTTATGGAGGTGCAATGCAAATATATATAAAATTTAAACTAAATAAAAATGCTTGCAAAAAAACATGGCACAAAAGTACAAACATTTGTGTTTGATTGAATCTTTATTTGTTGTAACAATGTTTCTTGGCAATAAATTTTATAATGTTAGAAAGTTATGATGAAATAATTAGTTAGGAAAATGCGTTTGTAGGTTGAGCAACAGAATTGAGTTTGTGGGTTGCACCCATAAAACTAACTTGCCAAATCTTCTGTGGCAATACCAAATGGCTTTTTCTGCTGTTGATTTTTGTTGGTTTTATTTATTGGTTTGAATGATTGAATTCTTAATAATCAAGACATACTGGCAGTTTAGGAATTTATTACTTTACCAAACAAATGACTCAGTAGTATGTGGAAGAGCCATACACAGCAACAACAGCCTGGCACCTCCTCCTCATCCTGCTCACCAGCTTGGTCACATTGCTGTGGGATGGCATCCTATTCTTCAAAGAGCATTTGTCACAAGTCAGCCAGTGTGGTTGTGTTATTCCCTCTGGAAAGAACAGCAAGTGATCCCACAGGTATTCAATGGGGCTGAAGTCAGGACTGCAGGCAGACCGTTCCATCCTCTCTACTCCCAAGTTCTGGAGGTAGTCTGACGAATCACCGCTCTCTGTGATTGTTGCAATCTTGGAGGATAAAGTTTGGTCCCAGACAGTAGAGATAGAAGATTGTCCCTGATTGCTTACAAGTGCTGACAAGCCAGAGCCACTCAGGCACCTGCCTTTCAGTACCAGGGTACCAGAAACTCTGAACAAAAATCAATAGCAGAATAAACAGTTTGGCAACATGAAAATTTGGCAAGTTTTTTATTGGCACAATCCACATGTTTAACTCTGCTGCTCAATTCTTCCTAAAAACCTGGCACCATGTAAGGCGACATTAACAGGGTTTACAAGATTTATTGCCAAAAAGTCCAGTTAAGAAATAACTGATCAAACAAACACAAATGTTCCCACCCTTTGTGATATATTTTCATTTAGTTAAAGATCTTTACAGTAATTTACAAGACTTCTTGAAATATATTCTTACCTCATTGTTTCATTTTACAACAAATGAATTGTAATTTTCTCCCAGTTCACTTTTATAGATACTGAGTAACCGGGGCAGCCTGCCTTTCTTTTCATTTCATTGTCACTTCAAATTTGTCCTGTCCAACCCTCTCTTCTGGCCCTGTTTCCTCTCTCGTGATTGCCAGAGTAATGTAAGCATGAATTTTTGCCCATGAATAGGCCTCATTCAGAAGCTCTGGATCTCTGAGCTTCCACCATCTGCTAATTGCTTGTTTTTGTTCACCATTCTTTATGAAGACATCATTATCTAAGTTTAGTGTGAAGACAGGGATTCTTTCTTTTACTCTCTGCTAAAAGAGAACAGCCACGTGCTTTTCTGTTCACACTGTTACCATCATGTACGTGCATAATCTAAATGGATTTGTTGGAAACAAACGCTTAAACCCAATCACTTTAATGATAACTTTAACAATCAACAAACTTTCTATACAACATGAAATTGTCCTTTTAATAACTCAGTTGTCTTCGCGTATCGAAAATAATTTTAAAAAGCAACACGTATTTATTTCATTCTCCTTAAACATTCCTTTTTGTTTTCAAGTGATAAACAGCTTTCTCGTGACTTTCAGCACATGAAACTAATTGAGCACAGTTATCTCCGAATTAAATTACACAATATTGTTCAAGCTCAGAATTGTCTCAGATCAGTTACAGCTCTTGTTGATGCGTCTCAGTTTTCACAAACTGGCTCTAGTTTTCACTCCAACACTTCCCGACTGCAGCCTTTATGTACTGAGACGCATGTTGTTTCCAGATGTTCATGACCACATGTTGAACACGCAAACTACGCCTTATCTATTCCATATTACTCACGTCTAAAACCTGGAAGCGATCTGATTTAATTCACAATCGTACTAAATTGAGGATACCAGTCAATTTTCAACACAAAACCGATCTGCAGCTGCAAACAGAGCTCTAAAAGCCTTTGTTAGTGTTTCTTTTAGAGGAAAACAAAATTGATTTATGTGTCTATTTCTATATTTACACCATGTTCATATGACATCCTTTGCACTCCATTAATAAATTACACTCTACGATAATGCTCCATAATTGAGCACAAATTGTTAGTGTCTCCTTGCAGTTCTGTGTTGAATTTTAAAGCTTCTGCACCAACATTTCCTAATGTCTTGTCTCCCCCTCTACTTGACAGGATGAGCTTGACCTTACAGAGAAGCACAGAGAAGCCATGTTTGCCCTGCCTGCAGAGAAGAAATGGCAAATCTACTGCAGCAAGAAAAAGGTAAAAGGTTCACGTCTTTGTGTCAGCTTCACACTGCATCACTCTCAGTCTTTGAACTCTCAGTGCTGACAGACTAAATCTCCTGAATCATATCTGCAAATATCTATTTGTGTTGTTTCTTTCCTCCCTCTTTTATTTATGGTTCCTGAATCTTTACAGCAAAAAGCCTTATCTGTATTTTTCTCTGCTCAGAGGCAGACTGTCTGTAAAGAACAGAGAACGGATTAAAAACTAAAGATGGATGCTACCTACTTCTTATAAAGATGTACTTCTATCATTTTTTTGTTTGTTTGTAAAAAAGGATAATTTGTCAAAACAATAAAATCAGTTTTTAGTTTTTACCTAATAATCACATGTAATTGTTATTTAACATTGAAAGTAAAGGTGAATTTCCAAAAAGCACTTGGAGCTTACTTGGAGTGTCTGAGTTATTTTGTAAATTAAGTAAATATACATTAGTGCGTAACAAATGTCTTTCCAAAATGCAATGTTTGGCAGCCTGTCATACGTCTGTTATGTGGCTTCTTTTATTTCAAGAAAAGAAAGTGGATTGCAGAGCTTCTTATCAAAATAATCTGCATCAGTCTAAATATTGTGCTGATCCACACTGGCTTTTAAGTATTAAGATAATAGATGTTTCCCAAGATATTTATTCTCTTCGCAGCCAGAATTAAGATGTGAAGGCAGACATCACTCGTGTCTATGTGTACATTAGCAAAGTTGTCCTTAGTAAAGTCATTTTTATTATTTCTGTCAGGTAATGCCAAACTGCACATTATTTCAACAACGTTGTTGTAGAGTGAAGACCATTAAGTTCAGACCCATCATCCACTGAGAAAAAGGCATATTGTGAAATATTTAAATATAACTACCGGTAAATAAATCCCAAACTGTTAAGCAGCTGAAACTCGATATCACGAAAAAATGACTAAACATTTTGGCTTCCAATCCACAGCAGTGTGTCTTCACAGTTCCCACGAGTTTAGCGTACTAAATCTTTTTAAAATTGTGTTGCTGGATACAGACTTGATCAGTTTGAGCATTTGATGTAGTGATTTTAATCCAATACAGGCTTTTATTGATTTAAAATGTCACATTTTTTTTCATTATTTATAGGTACACAGTGTCCAAGTTATTTTGGAAATAAGCTTTTTGTTCGTAAAAGGCTACTCTCAGAATGCAGTTAGCTGAGTGGAGAGTTTTGTTACCTCTGAACACGGCAAAACGGTGTCTCCTGTCTAGTGTTTGTATACACGTTATCCGTTGCTGCTAGTGTCCTTGTTTGTAATCTAAATATATGAGAGTAGCATCGATTTGACTCTATACAGTTTTCCAAGGTTAAAGTAGTTGATCACAATCCTCAAAATGTTAAACTGTTTCTTTAGAGGCTTTAAATCTGTTCCACATTTATCATGTAATGCTTTTGTCCACATGACTTTGCTCTAACAAAGTACTAAACTATCAAAAATAAAAACCATTCAAGACATTATTACAGAGTACAATATATACGGAGCACTTCCAATGTCTAAACACACAGCAGTATTAGTGTTAACTTCTCTTAATTTGATAAGTGTGCTATTTTCTTATATTACACATAAAAACTCCTTAACTTGTCCATGAAGGTGTTCCTCTAGAAAACAATCTAGTCTTTAATCACCTTTCTGATGACTTTCTTGGACCGCAGCCACTTTACCTAACTGGTTCAAAAAGCTACATGATGATTAAGTCACTGAAGTGAATGTTACACAGGGTTCATCATAACAAATATTTTAAATGAAATAAGACTAAATCTTGCGTACTTTATTGATTAATTCACTCATACATCAAGATTTTCCAGAAATTTGAACACATTTTAAAGTTGTATTGTATTGCAAGACCGAAGTTTGACTTTAAAAACCCTTTCTAGAAGTCTGGTTTCATTTTTAGAATTACTTACCTGAAAGAAAAACAGAAAACTCAACTTATATACTTAAAACAAAGTCTTGATTTAGTCAATATATCATTTAAGTTATTAAACCCGTCCTTTCAAAGAGTTCTTGTAGCCCTAACATCCTCTTCTGCTCAAGAAGAGTGTCATGTTTCATTAAGCCCTTCCTTCCTGATGAAAGGCATCTCAGCTGTTCCTGCTTTCTCTGTATGAATCCACCCTCAGCATGCAGGAAAACACGAACGCCTGTTGTAGTTTAGATGAATGGAGGTCGAGCTCCACTGAATGTGCACTCACTTTTATGCAGCAGTGTGCTTGAAAGCCTTAGTATGTAGGATATCCTGTCCGGACTAATATGCAGACTGGGCATGCAGATTTACTAATCTTTTCCTACATCTGGTACAGGACTGCATACTGGGGAGTTCTTGGATTTCTCATGAAGGATGGAGTTTACCAGTACCTGAGAAATTAGTCCTACAGAAAGATGTACACCTCTGTTCAGGAATGCTAAATGTTTTAACAGTCTTTATTTGTACAACTTCTTATAAGTATCAGCCTGTTTTTTTTATTATTATTATTATTTATTAGTTTTTTTTGGATAAAGATATGTTTGGCATTTAATTCTAATTTTACCATTTTGTTACCAAACTCAAAAGCTGTATTAAAACAGAAGTGTCTCACAGCAACAAAATGAAAAATGATTCCTTTAAATAGTTTTCTGTCAGCCAGTAAAGTATATTTATGTTGACAGATAATCTCTATAGAAACTTTGATACTGCAGAATGAACACTTGATAAGAGGCTTGAGAAACTATCACAAGTCTTTTTTTGTCTCTAAATATTTTACTTTTTGGATGAACTTTAAGTATAGATCTTTTTTTCCTAACGTTGACACTAAACTACACCCACCATCTAGTTAAACAAAGTAAAACGTAGCTAATCAAAGATAATCATTTATCCTGCGCCTCCTCTGTTAGGTTTAAAGAAACTTGCCTGTATTTTTCAGTTCAGATCATACAGGGATTGTTTTGTTGGTACAGTGGAGGAGGACTTGGATGAATCTTAGCTTTAAGAGCAGCATCGACCTGCAGAAAAGGGAGGAGGGAGAAAAGTCAAAAGTATTGCTGACTCTGCATTAAGCTGTGGCTCTAATCCAAACGGATACAAACTCACTATCTGAGCTGAGCTCAGAGGGGCTGTAGCTTTTTCTTTGTGTGTGTTTTAAGGGGTCAAGCGAGGTACTTGGTTGTCCAAAGCAAACAGGAAGGCTTCGCTTCCACAGGTGCAGTTTTTTTATGATAGCAGTGGGTGGGGGTTGTAGGGGTGACAGGGAAACTTCTGACACATTCAAAACCCACAACCTATGAGTGTGCTCCTCTCTCACCAGTAATGTCTTGGCTTTAGAAACGAGCCCAGATGTGGAAGAGATAAGTACATCAAAGCTGTAACTGTTTGGTTTGGCCAGACACCTGAGCTGATGAAATCATTCTGCAGAGACTCGGTCTTCCTCCTGCCTTTTGTCAGCACTCCTCTAGGTTACGTCACCTGCCAAGAGGAAGATCACTAATCCAACTATTAGCAGAGATTTTCTTTCTAGGGTTTAAAGTTTTAATAAAAGTGTAGGTCCAGGAATGTCTCAACTGTGACCTCAGTTCTATTTCAAGCAGACCTTCCTATTGAAAACAGAAACAGATTTCTATTTCCCAGAGTCTCTTTGATTTTGTTTTTCTAAAAGTGAAAAGAAAAAAAATTGCCCTTTGTGTGTCCTCACAGCTTTCCTGTCATCTTTACCCAAAATAAATAGTCATAAAGGTTAGGACTGAAGATATCCGAAGTATAAGATCAACTCTAAAAGGAAAGTGGTTCCACCTCAGTGTCTGATCCTCTAATGGACGGGACTTTTTCCAGCACCCTCCTGGTCAAGCTGGCGCTGGTGATGAATGGAACAGCAGGACTGTCCGTGCAAATCAGCCAAGGCCCACAGCTTCTCCCAGTTCAGCCAAGTCTCTGCAGTCTGCTTAAATATGTGTCGCTCAATTAGTTTCTGACACTCACAATTCGCTTGTGCTTAATTAAGCAAGACTTAAACTGGGAGTCAGGAGACATTTTATGTACCAGCCAAATTCTTGTAAAGCAAACACGCCTGTGAGGAGATTAATCTGGCCATAAGTCAGGCTGTGTCCTTAATCCACAGTTTTAATAATCATTTGTTAATCTAGATTTTCTCAAGCAGCTGTGCTCTCTTTTTTGGCACTTTTGCCTCCAACTGAAGCACTGAAAGATAAAATAGGTTGAATATCTGTGTTGCCCTAGTTTGAGCTCTCGCTCCATTTGTAGCTATTTCTGTCTGTTCCCTTAGCAGAGTCTATTTCTTGCGAGTGTCTTTCAAAGCCTATTGATCTGACAAATGATGGAAGGTAGGAAGGAGGAAGAAGCTAGCTCAACTCCTGCTGTGATGAACTCAAACAAGTGACATGAACCAGATATTTGATATTGTGCCTTTCTGACTACATGTTTATGTCACATCTCTTAATTTGAATTAAATCCAGTTGATATTTATACCCTGAATATGACCGCTTTACTTTTTTATGTTAATTTACATTTCTTTAAAAAAAAAAAATTCAACACATCTATTTATTTTACATGGCATCTTTCTGTTTTTCAGGAACAAGAAGAAAACAAAAGTGCAACAAGTTGGCCAGAATATTATATCGATCAGCTGAATTTGATGGCAGCTGTAAGTTCCTTCTTGGTTACAAAATTGTCCTTTAGGAAGTAACGTGTTTGTAGTATCCTAATGAGAGAATGTTACATTACAGTGCAGTATGTTGTGCAAACCATACTGTATGTTTTATTTGACCTGTAGTGTTGTGGGGCACTGATAGAGTTGTTTCATTTAGCGTAAATATCTCAGAACACAAAGACAAACTTGTGGTGGTGTTAATGCTTCACTGAACAGAGAAAGTCTCTTCTCGCTCTGGAGAAAGAAGAGGAGGAGGAGAGAAACAAAATTATAGAGAGCTTGAAGACAGCTCTGAGGACTCAGCCGATGAGGTGAGCAAATTTCTGCAACATCGCAGTTTGTCGGTCTTTATTTTATTCTTTATTTCTCTTGTCAGCTTTCATTTGATCTCCTTTTATTTAACCTCTCACCTCATCTCTCTGTGTGCTCAGCTCCTCGCAACAGTATGAAATTGAGTCCTTTAAAACTAAACAACCATAAAGGTCACTAGTTAACGGTTTTCAATGATACGAGATTTATCACTTCCTACTAATGATCAAATTAAACTGTTTAAAAGAGAAGTACTGCTGTAGACACACAAACACATTCATTTTTGTTTTCTTATTGTCTCAGAGAAAACAAGTTTTACTAAGAGAAAGTTAATTCTGAGCTCTATTTCTTGACTTTTTTTGCAGGTTTGTAACTCGCTTTATAGATCTGGATGGCCTGACGTGTATCCTGAACTTCCTGAAGAGTATGGACTACGACACCACAGAGTCGCAGATCCACACGTCTCTGATCGGCTGCATCAAAGCTCTGATGAACAATTCGAAGGGCCGCGCCCACGTCTTGGCTCACTCCGAGAGCATCAATATCATCGCTCAGAGCCTGGCCACTGAGAACATTAAGACTAAGGTGGCAGTGTTAGAAATAATGGGGGCTGTATGTCTGGTGCCTGGTGGGCACAAAAAGGTCCTGCAGGCCATGTTGCACTATCAGCGTTATGCCTGTGAGAGAACGCGCTTCCAGGTGAGTGATAGGAAGTGCCACGTGATCATATACACTACAACACTGTACATTATAATACACCTTGAGAAAATTTGTTCTGAACTCAGTGCTGTTCCAGTGTCTGCCCATTTAATTTCAAAATACAAACCTAATAACCAGTACAATACATTGCATGATCTATATTTTTTACAAGACTAACATATATGTAAAAAAAACAATTCTCTGCTAGAGTACAGTAAAGCACACAAAGTTCGTTTTGTTTGGATTCATTTGCAATCTTTCGTAAAGATGCTGAACACTCGCAATGGTTTGTCTTTCCCCAGACACTTATAAATGATCTGGACCGGAGTACGGGACGATACAGGGACGAGGTCAGCCTGAAAACAGCCATCATGTCTTTTATTAATGCTGTGCTGAGTCAGGGAGCTGGAGAGGTGAGTTATACAGTTATCACACTTTATTTTATATTAGGACATTGTCAATTACACAGACTCTCATTCAACTGAATCTGTATCAGCATTTTAATATTTTCATTCTGCTATTACTTTTCCGAATCAGACCAGCCTGGAATTCCGTATCCACCTCCGATATGAGTTTCTTATGCTGGGGATCCAACCTGTGATCGATAAGCTACGTTCACATGAAAACTCTACGTTAGACAGGTACGATGTAATCTCTGTAACCCACGTTGTTATCTGGAATAACTGAATGAATTTGGCATATATACAGTATGTTGCAGGTCTAGAGTGATAGGGAAACTTATTCAGGAGGAAACTAAGTCCTTTTTTTTTAAAGACAAATTTCTTATTTAAGTTGTTAATCCAGAAAACATTTATGAATTATGTAAGTTAAGTCTTTATCTTATTTATATCAGTGAAACTTGACTAAATGTTTTTTTTTAATTACAAGCTTGAATGCTTCACAATTACAAAATGTCACCTTGACTCAGTCATGTCGTGTCTTAGGCATTTAGACTACTTTGAGATGCTGCGGAACGAGGATGAGCTGGCTTTATCCAAACGATTTGAGTCGGTAAGAAAGAAAACAACTTCCTCTACGCCAGCTATCAAAAGTTAAATATTTTAGCAGCTACTGATTAAATCTAACCATCTTTTCTTCTATTCAGGTGCATATAGACACCAAAAGTGCCACACAAGTTTTTGACCTCATTCGCAAGAAGATGAACCACACGGATGCACACCCGCACTTTATGTCTGTGCTGCATCACTGTCTGCTCATGCCACGTGAGTTTTTAGTCAAATCTGAGACTAAGAAATATTTTTAAAATACCCCTTTTTGCATTAAAATGTAATTAAAAGACAATATAATGAGGCTACAAACAGCAGACCAAGAACATTATTACACCTACAAAAAAACAGTATTTAGTTTCTTGCCAACAAGATAAGAATGTTGACTTTGTCCAGATTAGGTAGTCCAGATATTAGATAAGTACATTCCCAGCCAAACCTAACACTTAACTCAAGACTGAAACATTTACTGTTTTATATGTAAAGAAGTGCACAAGTTTGATTTCACTAAATTATGTGGAAGTTCAGGAGCCTGACTGAAGTATTCATTCACTTTTCTTCTTAGTAACTTACCAAGTTACTTTCCTATAAAATCTAGAGTAAACTACCAGTGAGGAGTTTGTTGCAACAATACTGAAACAGGAGGAATCAAAACACAAGCAGATCATCGTTTACCATTTAAAATACTATTGTTAAGAAAAATAATGGGATGCACCCCAACAGTAGTGGTTTGATTTAGTTTTTAAAACAAAACATTGGTTTGTCATCACTATGAAACAAACTTTAGTAAGTTATTTATTAAGGTTTAAGAATACATCACTAAAGCAGTAAAAGAAGGAACAAATCTGAAACCTGTACCCCCTTATGTATTTTTTGTTTGTTTTTGTTTTTCAGACAAGAGAAGCGGCAACACGGTACAGTACTGGCTGCTGTTGGACCGTATCGTCCAGCAAATAGTCTTGCAGAGCGATAAAGGTCATGACCCAGATGCTGCACCTCTGGAGAACTTTAACGTGAAGAACGTCGTCAGGATGTGAGTACTCCAATACCCAGTAAGCACACAGACACACAAACGAGGACATGGAAGAAATTACGTGACTGCGCAAGAGAGGAATGTGCAGCAGTGTTACAGCGTTGGCTCAAAATGGCTTCTCAATAAAGTTCATTAAAAACAACTGGTTCATAAAGAGACTGTGATTAATTGTGTGTCATAATCTGCAGGCTGGTCAACGAAAACGAGGTCAAACAGTGGAAAGAACAGGCAGAGAAAATGAGGAAAGGTGTGAATGATAAGAGTTGACTCATCTAAAAGAGAAAAAAAAACATTTGTTAAAGATGATACAGATGTGCTGTTTTAATTTTTCCATCACAGAGCACCATGAGCTTCAGCAAAAGTTTGAGAAGAAGGAGCGTGAATGTGATGCCAAGACACAGGAGAAAGAGGATATGATGCAGACACTCAACAAGATGAAAGAAAAGCTGGAAAAGGAAACAAACGAGCACAAAAACGTCAAACAGCAAGTGGCTGAACTCACCGCACGGCTGCATGAACTCAGCACCGTATGTTGTCCTTTCAGTGGCTGTCTAACTGTACAATTAGATCAAAGTAAAAAGTGTTATGTTTATATGAATTTATATTTTATTTTGTATCTAACTGCTGTTGGAGGATGTAAAGCATCTTAATGCGTTTGTGTGTCAAGTGTCATGAATGAAACTTGAGATCTTGGCCCCATCCTGAACCTCCCTGGTGTTTGTGAACTCTCCCTGCAGAGGCAGGCAGCAGCTGTTGTTCCCGGAGGTCCTCCTCTTGCACCCGGCCCCCCCGGCGGCCCTGTCCCACCTACACCAGTGCCAGGTTTTGGAGGCATGAGCTCTCTTCCTGCACCCCCTCCTCCTGGTGGTATGATGCCTCCTCCACCTCCCCCACCCCCTCCACCAGGTGGTCCCCCACCTCCGCCAGGACGCGCACCTGTCGGAGGCATCCCTCCACCGCCAGGGGCACCCCTGGGATCGTCTCTGAAGAAGAAGAACATTCCTCAGCCGACCAATCCACTCAAGTCTTTCAATTGGTCCAAGTTAGCTGAGGTGAGAAGTGTTCAGGTTAAAAAAAAAAATTCTAGTACAGTAGTCCCTCAATAGTTTGCAGTTCGACAGTCGCGGATTCACTCTTTGCGGGTTTTCAGTGTAAGATTGTACACGACACACGATTGTCAACTTTAATATTTTTTCACGTGATTGGGATGGTATGGGATAAAAAGTTAAAAAGAGTGGGAACCAACCAATACAACAAAAACAAAAAATTACTTTGGACAGGCACCGCTATTTTGTAGTTTTCTTTCAATAAGCCTACACTGTAACGTAAGTCTAAGAAATACACAGTCCAGAAGTCAACAGTGATCCCGGCCGTTGCTTTCTGCCAAAATTCAGAGAACAGCAATGGACGGAACAAACACTAGCTGAGAAAACAGATGTGGTAAAAATAGTTTTGCAACGCAAAGTCAGAAGTAACGATCTATCTGTTAAGCTCACAGAACTGGCAGGAAAGTTGCAAATAATCCTGAAACTGAACTCATCTTTCAAGTTGTAGTATCTTCACTGATGAGTACCCATATAACATTTTGCAGTACTGTACAGTATAGATATGCAAGTTGTTAAAATTACGTAGGTTTAAGAGTTTAGATCATTGCAAATGTGTGGTAAGGGTGTATATAGCCTATATACATATACATATA